CAGGGCCCTCCTTACCATCTTGTCTTGAATTGTATTGTAATGTCTTCCTTATATTGTAAAGCCCTGCGCAAACTGTTGGGGCTATATAAATCCTGTATAATAATAATAATGTTTGATGCCTTTTGTATCTTTTTTTATTCTGTAGTTATTACCTTGTAAATCGTATCTGTAAAGGAGAAGTTATGGGAGAGTAAAATGTACTCTTCCCAATACTTGGAGCCGATGTGTGACACTGCAGGTCACATGCTGGCTCTATAGATCGAGAGCTGAGCAATCACGAACTGCTGATCACTCAGCTCAAGGTCTTTTCCCTGCAGAGAGTTCTGGTGCCGAAGCTAGCCGAAGGATCGGCCGAAGCTACGGCCAGATCCTTCGGCAGCTTTGTGAATAGACCCCTATGAGTCACTGCTTCCCACAGGGATTCCCCCACTCCCCTCTTCGTTTTTCCAGTGCTCATTCTAGAAACAGAAAGGGGAGGGGCTGGGCAGAGCCAGCTGTCAATCAGGCAGCGGGATTTCTGGCTGCAGCACAGCTCTGCGCTGTCAGCAAATAGTGGGCAGTAGCCCGCTATATGCTGACTTTATGTCACAGGAGGACAGAAGTAAATAAATCTAGACTAACCCCCCCAAAAAATGGTTTAGCTTTATTTCTTATCTTAAAAAAATGAAAAGAAAATATACAAAACATTTTTTTTAAAAATAAGTGTTGCATGGCGATTGACACATCAAATAGGCATGCACCCAACATGGAAAAGTACTACTTGCAAGAAAATCTTTTTCACTAGCTGCCAATTTACCTGCTAGTTATTTCTTTTTTTTCTTCCCGTCAACACAGTTAAAAAAGATTGCTACCGACAAATACACCGTATACTGTCGGTTTATGCTATCCAGATGTTATCTGTGAAAATCTACACTACCTTTCTCATGCTCTTCCACCCAACACAATACAAGACGTGTCAGCCTGCATTTTGGTGCTGGATTTTCAAATAGGATGAATGCCCAGCACTTCACCCTGATAGCTGCCTCCTGCAGGAGGAATGGAATGTTTCCCAGATCAGAAGGGATGCTATTATGTGCAGACCATCAGTACCATGTCATTTAATTACAAAATGGCAGAAATTATGGCGATGTCCAGATTCTTTGTAAGCTCTGACTCACCAAGCTCATCCCTAATAAAGATTGGCCCTGACTATAATAAAGTATACTCCTTTGTGACCAAAGCTTACTGTTGCTTATTCACATTTTTCACTTGGGAACCATCCTGTACCCAGTTTGGTACCAATGCATTACTGAATATTTTCTAAAGAATAGCTATTCCGTCTCATGCTAAATCTAAAATACTGAATTTTATATGCCAGTCTTGATTTTTTTCCTAGTCTGACCCTAATCACACACTGGTCAGAGTAGAGAATCAACAATGCACTTACACAACAACTGTGCAAGGTAAGCTATGCAAATACCTCCATCCTGTGTAATTTTGGGACATCTTGGGTGCTAGTGGGAACAACATTTGGGGTTCCAGTTAAATGGTGGCCATGACATTAAAAGAGTTGAGTAAGCTTATCTAAATGTACCTTAAAGTGACATTAAAGGATACTTTTTTTCCCTCCCCCAATGTTAATGTCAGCACTTACCTTAAATTATGCATTTTCTTCTTTCCCCATGTTTTCATCTGTCCCTCCAGCGGTGCGGCGGCTCTCCGATCCAGCGCTGACTCCTCTCTGCTTGCAGGCACTTCTGATCCAGCGGTGTCTGCATGCGCGTGCACGCGTCCATAGACTTACCTTGCGTCTCTGCTCGTCTCCCGACCGAGAATCCGAACTGCGCATGCGCCTGCCCCAAGATCCAAGATGCGCCCGCCCCAAGAGCACGCAGCGATAACGAGGTAAGTTTAATCCACTGTTAAAGCAGTTTAAAAAAAAACAAAAACTTTCTGCCTATATCTACTGCTTGCTAGCAGTAGATATAGGCAAAAAAACCGGAGGCTTTAGAACCCCTTTAATGTGGCCAGCTTTATATAAATAATTGTAGCAATGTGTATATAAACACGGGGCAGCGTTATGCCCTCGTTACATGTACATGCTGTGTATCTTGCTTAATAAAGTAAAGTCTGTGTGGTTTTTTTGTTTTCCTGTATACATGTTCTAGGCTGAAAAACAAATGTCATTGTACTGATCATATAGTAGCCAGTTTTAAAAGACGTTGGGACCAAACAGAAAACTCATGAGGGCCAGTTGACTTTGTGTTGTTGATTTTTGCAGAAAGCGAATGCCTAGAACCATGTAGATGTGAATGAAGCCTTACTTTTCCACAGTCTAAGTCAAGTCAACTCAGACTAAAAAAAAATACTTTCCAAGTGACTTAACCCTTTTAACTAACTAGTCATTTACCAAAGCTGATATATACACATAACTACAAGTTACATAATCTACACACTGCATTTTTAATAGCCTCAAAAAAATATGTGACAGAAAGGAAGTTAAATGTTTAAGCAACATGAAAATTATCTGCTTGGAGACTTTACAATCAGATGTCTATGTATGAACTTGCAGAATTTTTAAGATGTTTTGGTGGAGTGGAGAAGGGTAGAACTTATGTTAATTTTGAAATGTCTGTCCTCACATTATGGAGATTTTCCTGTCAAATGTTGTCTTTCTCTTATCTTCCGGCCATGTCTGATACCCGTCACCTTAACAGAAAGTAAGGGGAATGCGGCCGCATGAAGACACAGACAGCAATAAAATCCTGATGGCTTCATTCTATTAAGAAATGTGCTTTTATTGTTGCCTCTGTCTCTGTTGGATGGAGTTTCCCTTATTGCATTTTCCTCACTTCCTCTCACATCCATTAAATATACTGCAAATATGGAAATTTTCCCTTACGTCTTGTTTCGTCAGAAAGAGAAGAAGTAAGAATAAATCTCCCAAACACTGACAGGAATTGAAAGTCGACAGAGGTTCTACATTTCCACATTCTTTTCAACACTACAAACAAAAAAAGTTTTGGCTGGAGTTTGGCTTTAGGTTTTGGGGCTGTAGGTAACTATGTTAAAGGCCCAGGCATGTTTATAATCAAAAATGAATAATTATTGGTGAAAATACGACTAACATGTAATAAAACAAATGCATTAGACTAGTAGATTAACCTGGCTTCAAAGGCATTCCACAGTAGATGTCTGTAGAACATGGACTCCTGCAGTGCTCAGCAATGTCACTTAGAAGAAGGATGTCAGGGCATCCCAGGTGTTCTCAGTTCATTTATTTAGTCAGCATAACAGGGAAACCTTCAATTTTTAGTAAAGAAAACTGTTCTACAAAATACTGCCCTGCTGTATTAATCTAAATAGCCAAAATTGCAGCATGCTGCCTTCTATTGTGGCAATTTTCTTATATTTGCTACATTTCTAAAAAAAAGTGGCATGAAATGTTAATTTAAAACCTTTATCATCCAATAAAGTAAAAACATGATATCTTGACCCCAAGTTCACTAGGGCCGGAAGGATACTCAATGTTTAAATCATATTATAAACACACATCTGAACACACCTATAAAATGCAGAGCACAATGCTCTAGGACACTACTAAGACAAGCTTTGGACAACACCAAGAAAAACAGCAGAGACGAGCATTTTCTGTCTATATGTAAAGGAAGGAGGCCAAGGTGGCAGCCTAGTTATCCAAGTAGTCAATACTAGATGCTATAGGTGTTATGCAAGAATGCATAGCTAGGTTATGGTGTCGCAAGACAATATTCACCAAGTAACCCACCACCACCACCACCTTCACCACACCAAAAACCTGCAAAATATAACACAGCTAACATGTCAAGAAAAACAAGAATGCTGCTATCGCTACCCTGTCCTGAAATGCCAGTTGCCCACATGTCATGCAGACTCTCTGACTTCAATACCAAATGGGTAGGAATATATGGGGATTGACTTGCCAAAGGAAAATAGACTGTTCATTTTGCAATTTTCCCTTAGATCAGTGAATGAGGTGAAACTTCACTTTGCAAAGAATACCCAATCATGGGCAAAGAAAAACAAACTGTCTTTCGGCTTCCACATGATTGGCCGATGGAAGTCAACAAAGCTTTACCTCATTCACTTAGCTAAAGAAACATTCCATTGCAAATTGAACAGCCTATTTGACTTGTGTAAATCAATCCCATGGAGTTCTGACTTTTCTTCAACTTTCTTGATCTGTCTACTTGATTTGAGTCGATGGCCAGAGACCAGTAATGGCAGACCCCATATTTCTTTCCTAAAAAGGTATATTTTAAAACACAGGACACATATCACTTCCATCATAAGTCCAACTATCAAAAGGTTTAATTTTCATCTAAGCTTGTATGGGCAGAGAAATGTAAATTATTTCTTTATATAAATATGTATGGTATAACCTCTCTCTTAGAAAACCGTTCTTTCTCAGTACTGTTGATTTAAACTGAGGGCTAAGACTTCACAAGGGTTTCATGACTGTGGTGAAAGACAATCAGCTGATCAGTCAGTAAATCACAGAACTGTTGATAATAGAGAAAATTTAGGTACTGAGGTCTAGAGTGTACGTTCCCTTTACATTTAAACTTGGAGTTCCCTAAGAATAATGAGCATAATGCAACCTTCACTCTGAAAGATACAGAAGGACTTTGGAGGGGTTTTTAGACTTTGTGAGCCCTGTGTTTGAAAACCGCTCTGTTTTTCTTTAAGTTATAGCAATTCTACACCATAATTTTCTTTACTCAAAAGGTTCTTATGAAAGAAGAGATACTTAAAAACAAATGTTCTCATAGTTACATAGTAGGTGGGGTTAAATAAAGACACAGGTTCATCAGGTTCAACCTATATGTGTGTGTTCTCATTGTTACAAAGAACAAAAAACAAATAACCACAGATTGCATTTTAAGTGCACTGTTTCTAAGTTCAACAATATTAATGACAAAACATTATTAGCATAATGACTGCCTGTGATTTTTTTTTTTTTTGCATTTGACAAACTTTACCTGCGTAACAGAAGCTTGGGGTGATTTTTGTTTTCTAAGTTCTTCTCAATTAGGTCAGAGAGTAGCTGTTTCAAAACATCTGTAGCATATTCCAGCTTTCCTTGTAGAACAGTCATGATCAGTGATGCTACATTCCCCCTGTCACGCATTGAAAAACTACGCTGCATCTCTAAAGTGCGGATAAAAGTTAGCAGGAAAATCTTGTTGTTGATCAACTGAGCAAAGAGATTCAAAGCTTTCTCCACACTCTGTTGGCCTTTGCCTTGCACCTAGAATGGGAACAGAAAACAAATTATAGCACGAGGTGTCTGAGATTTGTGCATGTAGCCTTTCAGACAGCACAATTTTACAGAAAGCAGAGACAACATTCTCAGGTTCAGGCTCCAATGCCAGGTGCCCATTACCAATGCTCCACTTTTTCTCCCACTGTAACTATGTAGTAATCAATGGTTTGGCAGACAGTAGACCAAAGAACACAGACAAAACTGTCTAGAACAGTATTTCTCAACCTTTTTTCAGTCATGGTACCCTTAAAAAGTATGCAAAACCTCAAGGGACCCAGGTCTAAAATATAAGAAATGACAGCATGGCAGAGGGGGAAGGCAGAGCAGGCCTGAACAGAGGTAAAAGCTTATCTATTTCTGAATGGATTCAATCCTCCCTGGAGTAGAGTCATTATTTACTATGGTACTGGCTGGTCTGCACCATGGGAAGAAATGTGCAAGTTTACAAGATTATCTATTGCTATATATACACACACATATATATATATATATATATATTTTTTTTTTTTACAAAAACTGCATCTTTTTTCATTAAAAAGCAGTTCTTGATCTCCAGGCAAGTGAATTTGCCTAGACTGAGGATATTATCATTGTCAACATTGTAAAGCTGGTCATACACTAGGAGTCTCCACCTGCCTACTACTGTATTGTACACCGACAACTGGCTCCTAAGATGGGCAGACAATTTTCCACCCAAACTGGGTGGTGTCGGCAGGGCCATGGATTGAATTTCAGCCAATAGAAACAGGTGAATTTAATCCAGGTATGTCCACCTTAACTTTGTAGCAAGTCACAACTTGAGCAGCAGCAGCAGCGGACCTATCTATATCAAACATTTGTAAACTATATGTAAGAACTAATATGCATAATTAGAATGTGCTCATAACAGGGATTACATAGTTGTTAAGTTTGAAAAAAAAAGACAAGTCCATCCAGTTCAACTTGTGTGTGCTTGCGTGTGTGTATAAGAGTACGAGAGATTAAGAGTACTCATACCCCATGTATATTGCGTTCATTAAAGAAGACATCTTAAAATTTCTTGAATGAATGTATGCTCTCAGCTGATACCACTGCTTGGGAAAGGGAGTTCCACAATTTTACAGCTCTAAAGGTGCCCATACACTGCACGATTCTCATACGAGAATCGCAGGAAATCCCACGATCGTACGATAATCGTGCAGTGTATGGAAGGCGTGCGACCGTTTCTACTGTACGGTCGCACGTCTTCCGTCGAACAAGCAGGCTGGAAAACCCGCCGGGAATCATACGATTCTCGGCGAGTTAGGGGCCTGCTTGTTCGACAACTGCCAAACAGACCGGTGTGCGCACACCGAGTGAAGAATCCCCTTTGCAGTTGGAGGTTAAAGGAGAACTATGAGGTGAGTGAAAATCACTCATCCTCATAGTTCGAGCCGATGTGTGACAATGAAACTGTCACACGTCGGCTCAATAGATCGGAAAGTGAGCGAACACATACCGTTGCTCGCTCACTTCTCGATCATGTCCCTGCAGAGAGTAGTGACTGTCAGTCACGGCTCCCCACAGGGATTCCCCCCCTCCCCGCTCCAATCCTCCAGGGCTGACTGGAGGAACGGACGGGGGAGGGGGTGGGTACAGCTGGCTCTGCCTTTAGATAGGCAGAGCCAGCTGTCATTCACGCAGCTGGGTGGATCTCGACAGCATTGTTATTAAGCAAAGATTGTTTTATGAGTATAAGCAAACTTAATGGCTAAGTAACAGCTAAATGGACCAATGTGTTGCCTTTCACCCGGTCTGTTAATACGCATTTGTTTATCACATTCCGATTGTGATACAAAAAAACCATAATAACATACAGTATATCTTCCATGCCTTGCAGCACTCATTAAAAAATACTGCAAAAGAGTGGTTACCAAGAGAGATTAAAAATAAACACATTACATAAATCTTGGGCTATGAGGGATCTATGAAAAATGTAGATCTCTTTGGGTAGATATCGATTTCAAAATTTGTGTCTTTCAGAATAGATAAGCAAGTTCAATGTTTGTTAATGATAATTATATGTTTGTATTCCACAATGCACAGTTATGGTAGTTTAAAGTGATTGCTAAATCTAAAAACGCCTATGGAAACTAGCTAAACTGCAAATGCGGGCTCCACCCAACTGACTGGAGAGTTTGAGGGGCAGGTGTCTCTAATATGAACTCAAAGGATCTATAGTGGAGGTCTAAAATCCAGCTTTTTTTCCGGTTCCAAATGATCGAGGTATGATTCGGATATTTCTTTCAGCTCCTGGAGTAGCAGTATACAATGGTAATCTTTTCACTTTTCTATCCCTTTTATTTTAAATACTTGTTCTGCTTGTATGTTTGTCTGTTGAAACTTTTGTTGTTGTGTACTGTACATGCACTGCCTGCTTTTTGAGATATTAAATATAAAATTACTAAGATGGTTTTTGATTGCTCTAAGGCTTGCACAAATCTGCAATTCAGGTGAAGTAATTGTTTTGGTATTTATTTTAATTGCTAGATCAAGCAGGGTGTGTTTTGTGATATACTATGTACTAGCCTTTAGTCTGCTTGACAGCAGAGTTTTCTAAGAGAGTCAGCAATTTGAGTCTTTCAGTCTGTCACTGTTATACAATTCGTGAGCCATGGCAGCCTGTGAGTGTTTCTGTGGATTTTTTAAAGTTGTTTCTCATGTCCAGATATGGGGATTATGTTGTCTTGCATTATTGACCAGCCCCACAGGATGGGGGGGCACCAACTCCTTTTTGTTTTGTCTTTCCCTCGCCCCAGCACCCTTTCCCATATGAGACACCTTTCAAAAAGTACTTTTTGATAATAGTTACAATGATAAATTATGTGGACATAAAAATACAATAGTCTCCCATCAAACATATAAACATATATTCATGCTTCCTTGCTCTTTAGCACTGGGAGCAGTATGTTTTTTTAAGTTTCTGTTGACTGGCTTGGTTCTTCTGATATGAATATATGTACAAAATCTTTTGCACACATTTATAGCATCAATGAGATTTACTTGAATGCATTTTAATGCCAATTTACTTTTGGCATTGTCAGTCCTAATCTTATAACTCACCATTAACCATTGCCATAATTCAAACTGTTGTATTATTTTTTAGGGCTGTGGAAATTAAAGATTAATTTTTCGATTAATCGTTAAACTTTTTGATCGATTAAAATAATTTTGATCAATAATGAAAACACTAACCTCTCCGCCGGCTTCCGGGAGTGCCGACGGCGATCCGGTGACGTCACGGACATCGACATCACCGGAGTCCTCCCCCTTCCCCAAGTGGCTCTGTCGGCTAACGAAGGGAAGGGGGGAGGAGTCCGGTGACGGCTAACAAAGGGAATGAAGCAGAGATCTGCTTTATCAGCTTCTTCTCTCTGGCAATAGCAGCCAGATGACTGACAGGTGAATGCGGAAGTGATGTAATACACATCACTTCTGCATTCACAGCCCGGACGGAGATCAGCAAGGAGCTGATCTCCCATCCTCCTCCTCCTGATGCCCTCAGAGTCGGTCCCGGGATCCAAGAGCCGCGAACGAGCACATATAGGCGATCGGCGGGCTATGGACCCGCTGATCGCCTATATGTGAAACACCCGGTAACGGGTGTGTTTAATCGTCGGGTCATTTCTGCCCGTGCGTGCCCGCTAGGGGGCGCGCACGAGCAGAAAAAAATTGCCGTCTGGAGATGGCAACCCGCAGATGCTGCAGTGCCGTCCGTCCGTTTTTTTACTACGGGCGGACGGCAAGAGGTTAATAACGTGCAGGATTAGAGTGATCCTAGTTCATTTTATTACTTCATTGTTGTGCTGTATGTGTATAGGCCAATGTAGTTGGATCTGTATGTGCGTTATAATTAATCGATTCATTGATTTTAAAATTTTTTGATTAATCGAACATGAAAATTTTAACCATTGCCAGCTCTAGTTTCTGCTCCAAAAACAAACACACATACAGTATATATCAATGTAAAAAAAAGGGCTGTCAGCATCCTATAAACAAATTAATCCACACCAAAAGACTGTGTTGATATATCTACACTGAATTCTAACCATTTTAATGCATTTGTCACCCAGTCCTCCTATCAAAATGACCCACAGCTGGTCATTGACGCACCAAAGCGTAGAGAATATGTGAAGAAAGCAATGACAAATCCAATATTTTAGAGTTGTCACCAGAACAGTAGAAGAAGTGGAAACTTCAATGGACACACCTGTTTCAGTAACATTTAAGAGGGGATTTCTCCTCACTTTGAAGAAATTTCCTCTTACTGCCTGTTGTATCTTTGGGACAGGAAGTAAAGGGAAATCTCCCCAACATGACAAAGGGCATGTCAAAGGACAAACAGCATGTAAAATACATGTTAACCACCTGCCGTCCATTGGCTGTTCCTAAACAGCCGGACGGGAGTCTGTCCTAAAACATCCTTCACTGCCCCCAATCATGCGTGGCGCCCAGTGTGCACATGAGTGGGAAAACTGTCCAAAATGTAAACAGCCAGCCATGTACTAGGTGCAGCTGTGCGCACCCCAGCCGACACTGTCGCCGGTCCCGAGACCCGCTGTGTCCGATGCAGCCAGGACGGGCACGGCAACTCTGTCACCAGAGTTCAGTACACAATCTCCCTTTGATCTCCTCTCTGGTCCCCAAATGCAGGAAGTGATGTATAATACATCACTTCCGCATTCAGCTGGCATTCCCGGCTACAGATGCCAATGAGAAGTTGCTGAAGCAGATCTCTGCTTCATCAACTTCTCTGAAGGTCCCTAGGTGACATTAGGGGTCTTACAGACCCCTGATGTCTCCATAAAGATGACCTGTCATGTGAATTAGCTATCACATAGGGGGTTTCTTAGTCCCCTATATGATAGCAATAAAGTTAAGTGTAAAAAAAAAGTTTAAAAAAATTAAAGCATAACAAAAAATTAAAGAAACATAAAAAAGTCACAAATAAAAAACGCAACATAACA